GGGGTCACTGGGCTCTTCCTGGCAGAACAGAGTGGGCACAGATTCTGAAGCCCCAGCCAGGGTCTGTGGAACAGAGCATTCAAAATCTGCAAAGTCTAAGACACATGATTAATTAACACTGGTCTCTTGGGTCAGGCCTATCTGGGCCTCAATTCCCTGAGGTAGAGAAATAGAAATCTGAGTATCACCCATCGGGATTATCATAAGGATTAAGCAGTGTGATGTGAGTGTGCGGTGAGTACCGCTCAGTAAGTGTTACTTTCTTTTCTCTTTCTGGTCCTAGTGGAATGTGCTTTCCGTGGCACTGTTGATATCGGTTCTAGAAAATGAAACCCTTAAAGAAGCTCAGATGCTTTTGTGCAGGAAGCACCATTGCTGCATTTACCATGAGAGACGGACGCTCTGCCCTCTCAGCTCTTCCTCCGGCAGCTGCTCACAGATCTGTTCGGGTGGGGGAGACTTTTCCTGGCCTTCCTCAAAACCATCATTTGTGCAGCATCCCCAGGGCTACGAACAGCAAGGAAATGAGGGAAAGCAAGCAACATCTGGTGTTAAACAAATACCATCATCTTACAAATGACTCATCTCTGGGATAATGATTCTTGCGTACGTATAGCAGAGGGATGTCAACCCCAGGACTCGATACTAGAGAATAAACACCTGAAAGGCAGTCCTAGGGCTTCCTGACAGCTCTACTGTGTCTCCAGCTGAATTCCATTTTGGAAAAAAGAGAAGGTGCTCATGTTCGTAGCTTTTAGTCACACCAGACAGAAAGCTCACCTCCTGTTCTCTGTTCTGAAGAGCAGAATCCTGCAAACATACAGCATGATAGTAGGTCAGTGTTTGGGGTGGTGCCCGGAGGAGGGTGAGCTTTTGAGCATCTCCTGTCTTTCTCCCTCGCCCAAGGCCAAGACCATGTCTGTTTGTGAGGCTGCTGGTGCATTTGGGAGTCCCTGAGACGTTCTCAGGCATCATCCAGAGAGTTATACATGTAAATGGCTAAGACAGATGTTTTCCACTTCGCTTGGTTATTATGGGTGTTATACCCCAAAGAAGAAAAATGTTAATGAATCATTTTGTGACACTTAAATGACTCCTTAATAAGCTGTGATGGGAATGGCCTGCAGCCAAGTGGTGATGGAGAACTTTGTCCTTGGCAACCACTTGTTCAATCTTCTCTCCTCTTAGCATGATTTTTTTCTCTCTCAACTGAAATCCATCATCTAGCTTCATGTGAGGCAACCAGTCACCTGGCACTGACCCAGGCCATCAAGGATCCTCTCTGTAAGGTCCCAGACAAGACTGCTACCACCAAATGTTGTATCCTATGACATAAATGACAACCATGGATGTGTTTGTTTTGTCCTGCATAGTGTTTTGAACAAAAATCAATGGTTTGCAACATTCAAGAGATTTCATATAAATAGCTAAATTCTCAGCTTCTCTGCAAAAAAATCCCAGAAAGATTTGACAATGCTGGGTTAGCATTTTCACATTAGCAACTGTTGGCTGGAGCTGAGTAGTGGCTGCTCCTTTTAGGTGGGCTGTTGCTGTTCAGTTTGCCATGGACCTCACTACTCCCTATTGCCTCCATTCTCACATAGGTCAAATTTAGTGTCAGGCAACTGGCTCTTTTTATGCATTCATGTTACCTTCATGGCCCTGTAGGTACCCGTTTGCAGTCTCTGCTTTAGACCTTCCAAGCCTCCAGTGATGGCAACCATGTAATCAGAAGACTGGAACTTTCAGTCCCATCTACCTTCCCCACTCCCCTAATCTCCAGGAAGGGGAGAGGGGCTGGAAATCGAATTCAATCACCAATGGCCAATGATTTAATTAATCATGCTTATGTGATGAAGCCTCCATAAAAAAACAAATGGAACCCTGAATAGCCAAAGCGATTCTGAGAAAGAAGAACAAAGCTAGAGGCATCACCCTCCATGGTTTCAAACTGTATTAAAAGCTATGGTAATCAAAACAGTAAGGGATTGGCATAAAAACAGATACATAATTAGCAGAACTGAGAGCTCAGAAATACACCATCAGTTATGACAAAGGAGTCAAAAATATAGTGAAGAAAGGACAGTCTCCTTAATAAATGGTGTTGGGAAAACTGGATAGCCACATGCAAAAGAATGAAAATGCACCCCTATCTTACACCATACACAAAAATCAATTCAAAATGGATTAAAGACTTGAATGTAAGAACTGAGACCATAAAAATCCTAGAAGAAAGCATACATGCTCAGCTCTTTGGCATTGGTCTCTCTGATGATTTTTTTGTATTTGACACCAAAAGCAGAGGTGACAAAAGCAAAAATAAACAAGTGGGACTACATAAAACTAAAAAGCATCTGCACAGAGAAGGAAACTGTCAAAAAATGAAAAAGCAACCTACTAAATGGGAGAAAGTATTTGCAAATCATATATCTGGTAAGGGGTAAATACCCAAAATACATAAAGAACTCTTACCACTCAATAGCAAAATAAAAAGTTCAATTAAAAAATGGGCAGGGCTTCCCTGGTGGTGCAGCGTTTGAGAGTCCGCCTGCTGATGCAGGGAACATGGGTTCGTGCCCCGGTCCGGGAAGATCCCACATGCTGCGGAGCGGCTGGGCCCGTGAGCCATGGCTGCTGAGCCTGTGCGTCCGGAGCCTGTGCTCCGCAGCGGGAGAGGCCACAGCAGTGAGAGGCCTGCGTACCGCAAAAAGAAAAAAAAAAAAAAATTGGGCAGAGGATCTGAATAAATATTTTTCCAGAGAAGACATACAGATGGCCAACTGGTACATGAAAAGGTGCTCAGCGTCACTAATCATCAGGAAAATGTGAATCAAAACCACAATGAGATATCGCCTCACACCTGTTAAAATGGCTATTATCAAAAAGGCAAGAAATAACAAAAGTTGGCGAGGATGTGGAGAAAAGGGAGCCTCTGTGCACTGCTGGTGGGAATGTAAATTGGTGCAGCCACTATGGAAAACAGTATGGAGTTTCCTCAAAACAAAACAAAACAAAACAAAACCTAGAACTACCACATGATTCAACAATTTCACTTGTGGATGTTCATCCAGAGAAAAGGAAACACTAACTTGAAAAGATATGTGCACCCCCATGTTTATTGTGACATTATTTACAATAGCCAAGACATGGCATCAACCTAAATGACCATCAATGTATGAGTGGATTTTAAAAAGTGAGATAGATATATATATATATATATATATATATATATATATATATATACTGGAATATTATTCAACCATAAAAAAGAAGGAAATCTTATTAATTATGACAACATGGATGGACCTTGTTGGTATTATGCTAAGTGAAATAAGTCAGACAGGGAAAGACAAACACCATATGAGCTCACTCATACGTAGCATCTAAAAAACAAACAAAAAACTTGTGGATACGGAGAACAGGTTAGTGGTTGCCAGAGGCAGGGAGTGAGGGGTAAACAAAATGGGTGGAGGTGGTCAAAAGGTACCTATTTCCAATTATAACGTAAATAAGTCATGGGGCTGTAATGTACAGCATGGGGACTACAGTTAATTACACCATATTGCATATTTGAAAGTTACTAAGAGATTAGATCTCATAAGGACTCATCACAAGAAAAAAAATTTTTGTAACTATATATGGTGATAGATGTTAACTGGACTTATTATGGTGATCATTTTGCAACATATACATTATATAACATTTATACTGCAATTTTTAAAAAAGATACAACTCTAAATTCTAGTGGAGGAAACAAAATATAAAAAGCAAACTAATATGTGAGATAATTTCAGATCATGAGAAGTACTATGGAGAAAAATAAAATGGGGTAAAGGAGGTGGCAGAGGTTTACTCTTTTATACAAAGTAGTTAAAAGAGACTGTTCTGGAAAGGTGATGTCTGAACAGACTTGAATGAAATGAGGGAGGAAGCCGGGCCGTGATTCGGCAAGAAGGTTCTAGAAGGTCAGAGAGCAAGTCCAAAGACACAGGAAGGCGCATGTGAACAGGTCACTTCAGCGTAGATGTTACTGTAACACAAGGAATTCATCGGATGGCAGGTCTTCTTCACATGGCCTTGGAGGAGTCTGGTGCCTGGAGGAACCTGGTGTGGGAGAAGGCTTTCCTCCAAAGCACCTCAAATCAAGTCTGAGGCCAATTTCTCTGTGTTTTGTTTTTCTGCAACTTGTACCTGTTGTGAACGGCATCTCTAAATGCTTCTAGTTTCTTAGAGGAGAAAAGCAAGCCAACCAGAAAAGTACGGAAGCAAGAGGTCTTTCTATTTATTTTGTTCATTAAGTGAACAGATGAGCACATCACTGGAAAGTACAGGGTGACTAAGAAGAAGTCCAAAGGGAAAAACCTAATGGGGGAATTTTATTTAAAAACATAATTTGCATATCCACACTTTGGGTTTCCCTCTCAGCCTCTCTTTGGTTCTCAAAGCCCCTGGGAGAAGCTGGAGTGGTGGAGTGGGTATCTGAAGGTCCCATCAGCTTGAGGGCAGGGCTGTGGGAGTGAGGCCCCATGACCCCGTGGCCAGCTGATAAGAGCTCTCCACACAGGGCTGTTTGTAGACCACGAGGTGCTTGGCCACAAACCTTGACCCTTGACTGGGCTCAACTGTGGTAGATTCGTTGGAAGGATTAGTTCAAGAGCATTTTTTTCGTTCAAAAACCCTTCTCTTGAAGGGAGGGCTTCAGAAGGCACCCTTGGGGCAAAGGGGAAACCCACCCTTTTCTTTTTATAGGACTTCCTCATCCATCAGGTCAGTCAACACAAGAGGCGAGAGTCTGGGTAGAGAGAAGGGTGCCCGGAGCAGTAACCATGGATTTTGCCCCCTGTCAACTAGCAGTCACCAGATGAGCTATTCCTAGTCAATCACAAACATCTTTTGTGTATTTGTGATGTGCTCAGCATTTGATAAGTGTCTGACGACTTCCAACACCAAAAATGTGTTCACTGGCCCCTCCTGTAGGACTTTCCCTCAAAGGCCATGCTTTGCTCTCATTTCCTTTCTCTCCTGATCCAATCTCCACCTTCCCTGATTCCTATCCTCACTGTGCTTTCCCTCTTTGTAGAACCACCCTCAAGCTCTGTACTCCACACCCCTCACCCCCAGCCTCAGACCTTCCCAGAGAAATTGTATAGAATTGAGAGACAAAGCAAGGTCCACTTGAAAAAAGAGTGTCCGCCCACATAAACTTCTTCAGAACAATCTTTGCACAACGTACCTGCTGCTTAGTAAATGTTTAATAGTGAACTAAAACGTCCTCCTTTCCGTGCCCATCCTCCAGAGCCCTGCCCTGGGAGAGGGGAGGTGAAGAGAACTAAGATAACGTCGTTCTTCAGCTTTCTCCTCTCCTGGCTTCCAAACTCTGCCCAGGTTCTCCAATGTCCGAATTCCAAACGTGATGACCTGCTCTACTGGCAAGACCTCTGAGAGAAATAGAATAACAAGCCACAGTCCTGGTGTAAGTAGTCGTGCGAAGGGAGGGTTTGAGGGTCCGCAGAAGTGGCGAGGGCACTGGCTATTTTTGTTTTTTTGCCCAAGGTGAATGCGTGCCTGCCATTGGCAGTGAGAATGTTTTCTAATGTTGTAGGGTTCTTCTTTTCTTCAAGTAATGGAGCAGAAACACGCGAAGGTGACAGCTACTGGTTTCAGAAAGATCATATGCACTTCTTCGTGTTCATGTTACTTTTCTCCCTCAAGTGAAATTGAAGATCGAGCCATCTGTAAACTCCGTCCTCCTGTTCAAGGAAGACCCCCAAGGTAGGGCTTGGAGCTGTTCCTTCCCATAATCACTGCCACTTCCAGTACACTCTGAGATCGTCTAATTTTTTATTGTAATGTGGCCTGTATAACCTGAGAATGCTTCATAAGGAGTGGACTTCTCAGAAATATGTTCCTACCTCAGTATGAGGGACTTTTTAGGAAGTGAGGAGGAATACATTAAGGATGAAAAATAATGTGGGAATTCTGGCGGTTAAGCGGGAGTTGCTGTGAAGTCACATTTTTAGGCTGTTAAATAACAGATTGGGGAGTTCTATTTTCAGCAACATGGTTTTCTGTGTAATACAAAAAAAGAAAAAACCACCTTTTGCAAATTTCTAGAAATAATGAATAAATTCTAACCAATATCTAGCTGTACCTGCAAGAGAGTAAGGGCAATCTGGAGGGTAAAAAATGAAGAAAGAGGGCTTCCCTGGTGGTGCAGCGTTTGAGAGTCCGCCTGGTGATGCAGGGGACATGGGTTCGTGCCCCGGTCCGGGAAGATCCCACATGCCACGGAGCAGCTGGGCCCGTGAACCATGGCCGCTGAGCCTGCGAGGCCACAGCAGTGAGAGGCCCGCGTACCGCAAAAAAAAAAAAAAAAAAAAAAAGAAGAAAGGGCTATGAGCCTGCACGAGCTGATGCTGGGACTTCTTGGTAGGGGCAGGGGTGGGGTGGGAGAGCAGAGGGGGTGCAGGTGGGGAAAAGCAGTTGTTTGGGCTTCAGAATTGGCTGGGGAATCAAGGGGCTTAGGTTTTAATAACCAGCAGGCATAGAAGAGGAAGCCTGGGCCCCAGGAGAGGAGAAAGCGGGAACTGAAGCCCACCTCCACCCCAATGTAAGGATGAACTACAAACAATTGCCCACTCACCCAGCGAGATGACAAAGAAGCTTTTTTTTTTAAAAAAACAAAAAACAAAAGCCTACCCTTAATTTGTTAATTTATAATCATAGAGGTGCCCTCACAAAGATATGGTATTTAAATTTAAATTACCAGAGTGGTCTAGGATACATCCCACTAAGAGATTAATATAAAATGCTATCCCAGGCTGCTAATACCTTTGGGGCACCTGGCTGAAACAAACATAAAATCTCTCTAGGAGGCTACACCCTCCTCCCAGACCCTCTAGGATCCCCCTATGTGAAGCCCCTATTAAAGATTAACTTACAATGAAAAATTACAAAATACATGAAAAAAAATCGATAAAAAACAGTTAACAAACAAAGCAAAAATCAATAGTAAAACTCCAAGAACTTCAGATAATATAATCATTGGGTAGATTATAAAAGAAACACATTTAAAATGATAAAAAGTCATCAAAGGATTAATGAAGAACACAATAAAAGAATAGGACACTTTTGGTGCAGCCACTATGGAGAACAGTATGGAGGTTCCTTCAAAAACTAAAAATAGAACTACCATATGACCTAGAAATCCCCACTTCTGGGCATGTATCCATAAAAGATGAAAACTCGAATTTGAAAAGATACATGCACCCCAATGTTCACTGCAGCACTATTTACAATAGCCAAGCCATGGAAGCAACCTATGTGTCCATCAACAGATGAATGGATAAAGAAGATGTGGTGTATACACACACACACACACACACACACACACACACACACACACACACACACA